CGCAAAGAAGATTTCCGGACGTAAGGACAATAGGCCTAAAAGTGGAGTGGCCTGGTATAGTGATGACCTCAAGAAACTTAAGGAAACAGTTATGGCTTACCGTACTGTCTACATGAACCTTAGAACTGATGCCTCGTACAGTGCCTACAAAGAACTTAGAAACCTCTATAAAAACGTTGCGAACAGAGCAAAATTAGCCGCAAACGCTGACTTCATTGAGCGATCAGCAAACAAATGCCAAGCAGCGTGGACGATAGTAAGGCGAGTTTCTGGAGAGAAGAAGGAGGTCAGCAACAACCATTCTGCCGAGGACTTCAATAGATTCTTCATCGACTCCGTAAACGATGTTCGAGCCAGCATTCCTGTGAGTCCCCTGCCTGCGGATCACTTCCTGCAGCAAGTGAAGAGGCCCAGCACCCAACTTGAGTGGAATGAAGTGTCATGTGATGATGTGCTCAGTGCAGTGTCAAAAATGAAATCCTCAAAAAGCAAAGATGTGTATGGTCTCACAAGCAATATTGTTAAACACATTATCTTTGAAATAGTAATGCCCCTTGTCTTTTGTATCAACCTATGTCTGAAAGAAGGTGTTTTCCCAACCTCCCAAAAAATTTCTCGAGTCATCCCAATTTTCAAAAAAGGGGAAAAATCACAGATTAAAAACTATCGTCCTATTTCTCTGGTCCCTATAATTGGCAAGATCATTGAAGCTGTCATCAAACCTCAGGTATGTTCATTTTTTGACACAAACAAAATTTTTTCAAATTTTCAATTTGGTTTTCGTAAAAGTTTGTCTACCGTGGATGCCCTGGACCACCTTGTTTCTAAGATTTTGAGAGCTTTTGAGGAGTCGAGCTTTGCTCGGATCACAGCTTGTGATCTGAGTAAAGCATTTGACTGTATTGATCACAACATACTCATCACTAAGCTGGAGTACTATGGCATCCGCGGTATACAGCTTAAGTTTTTTGATTCATACCTGAGAGAGAGAACTCAATTCGTTGATGCAGGAGGCAAGATGTCAAGCTGCTTGAAAGTTAGCTCAGGTGTGCCACAAGGCTCGATTATAGGCCCCCTTCTTTTTATCACAGTCATCAATGACCTACCAGCCAATATTAAAAGATCCTCTACCATCATGTTTGCGGACGACACCAATTTTTTGAGTGTTCATCCCAACTTTTATGATCTCATGTCAGTAACTGAGCTCACAACTGATTCAGCTTATATGTGGTTTAATGCTAATAGCCTTTGTCTTAATAAGAATAAAACTCAAAATCTATTGTGTAGTCTTAAAAACATTCCAGTAGAGTCACAAGATGTAAACAATGAAAATGTAATTACAGTTTTAGGAATAAAAATTGATAAATGTTTAAGCTGGTCTCCTCAGATAGATTTGGTTTGTGCAAGATTGTCCAGAGTAATCTGTTTGCTTAGAAATCTTATGGGTGTTGTACCTGAAACCTACATAAGGGTAGCCTACTTTGCATTTTTCCAATCCATAATTAGCTACGGCTTGATTCTTTGGGGAAACAGTAGTCACATAAGTGAAGTGTTAATACTCCAAAAGAAGGTAGTTAGAATAATAAACAAAGCTCCAATTGAAGAGCATTGCAAGCCATTGTTCATAAGAAGTAGAATATTGACTGTGATTAATCTGTACATATTTATGTGTTTACTTAGGGTTAAGAAAAATACTAGTTCCCATGTTTATAGGTTTAATATCCATTCACACAACACTTGTAATCAGTTCCTATTAGACGTGCCTTATTGTAGGTTAAGTAAATGTAAAAATAGTTACCATGTTATTTCATTAAGATTATTTAATAAGCTTAGCATCAATGCCAAAGAATTGGACCTTAAGTCATTTAAAAAAAGAGCTCAGGATTGGTTACTTTTACATCCTTTTTATGACTTAGAAGAATATTTTAAGGTTGACGAAGTTAACTTTTAATGTCCTCACATTTCCACATTATTTTTTATTTGTAAGCATATGTATTAGTATAGCCTATTTTGACTTGTTTTTAGGCTTGTTTTGTTTTGCCTAAAAATAGGCTGTTTATGTAATAGCTGAATTTTCTTGACTTTTGTCTATTGCATTTGTTGTAAATGTTGAAGGACAATAAAACGTTTCTGATTTCTGATTTCTGAATGTAACACTGTTCAAAACTGCATAGATAAGTCAGTACACTACAGCAGAAATTTACACTATGTAACATACACATGATGATGGCTAGAGTTTTGAAGTGTACATTTCTTAAAAATTTCGAGAGGTCTAGGGAAGGGCTGATAAGATATGGATACTTCATGAAGTGAGATGTTACGAGAAGTTATCTATAATATTTAATGTTGTGTCATTTTTGCTTTATATATATATATTTTTGCGTCAATATTGTGTGTGTCTAGCAAGTCGTAGAAAGACGAGAGAGGGCTCAAATTAAAAGTTTTTCTTCTGTGACAGCGGGGAAAAGTAAATAAAATCTAATATATAAAATTCTCGTGTCACAGTGTTTGTCTGCAAACTCCTCCGGAACGACTTCACCGATCGTTATTAAATTTGGTGTGTAAATTCTGTAGGTATGCGAATCGGACGTAAACTATTTCCCGTTTCGAAATTCTTAAAAGGGCTCCAGTGGCTCTGGAGTTTCCCATGTTAACCTTATGAGAAATGGAATTAATGAATCTTAACAGCTGTTTCAATTAAACAAGTTGGTTCTGTTCTATGATGTTCAATAGCATTAAAGTTACAAGGATTACCAACAGGGTGCAGCACTATTATTTCTTTTACAATTTATGACAACAGCTAATTTGCAACCAAAAGGTGAGTGAGCGTAGCGAACGAACTTCAACCTGGAGGCGAGTTAGCGTAGCGAACGAGCTAACCTGAAGGCAAGTGAGCGCAGCGAACGAGCTCCAACCTAAAGGTGAGTGAGCGTAGCGAACGAGCTCCAACCCAAAGGTGAGTGAGCGTAGCGAACGAACTTGAACCTGGAGGCGAGTTAGCGTAGCGAACGAGCTAACCCGAAGGCAAGTGAGCGCAGCGAACGAGCTCCAACCTGAAGGTGAGTGAGCGTAGCGAACGAGCTCCAACCCAAAGGTGAGTGAGCGTAGCGAACGAACTTCAACCAGGACGTGATTGAGCGATGCGAACGAGATCATCTTGAAAATTAAACGTAACGGTACTTTCTTTCCATCGGTCTGTCTTAGGGGAAACCTATAACTTAGGCGATACGAAGTTCGCCGGGTCAGCTAGTGTTCTCTATAAGAATATGAAATTCAAATTCTTTATTAACTCATAACATCTTTTTTGTAGTACAATGTACATGGTTAGGAGTTTTGTCAGTATTTATGATGAGAAAACTAATTACAATTTTTAAAACTGTAAAAATGTAATAGGAATATCATCCAAAATGATAAACAGCAGGTTTTCATTACTTCTGATCATCTTTTGTGATTTATCTTAAAGCCAGTATGCAGTATATGGGTTTCTTTTTTGCCAGTCAACTCTGCTATGTATTTGATAACATCATAAAACCAGGGAGAACGTAATAAAACATTGAGTTTTTTTGTAAAGTCTTAAAATGTCGTAAAATTGTAGCTAAATTGTATGCGTTTTGTAAATTTGTATTTTTTGGAAATAAATAAATATAAACGTGGACTTTAAATATAATGTTAACTATTTCTCCTAAAGCATTTTGTAAGTACAGGAAAAATGGTTGCCTGAGAAGGGAATTATGAATTGCATCATATAGATTTGTGGATAACATAAATATGGGGTTTGTAGGTACTGTATGACAAATCGACTGCAGATGAAATTGCCAAAATTCATTTCTGATATTTTCAGGAAAGGTGGTCAAAACTACTTTCTATTGAGCCCAAACTGTGGTCCAATTATACATCCGCTTTTAGGGAAATTCTGTCATATAGACAATTTCTTTTCTCTTAGTTTGTTTAGTTTATATTACAATACCTAATTGGTTTTCTACATAGGTTATCAGGGGCTTTAATGTGCAAAAGATGTGGTTTTTACAGGCTACTTCGAGTTACATTACCTATCCATACAAGTTGTTTATATCGAGCTTGTGGCACACCTAGGCTACATTTTGGTGATTTGGTTGTGTGAATTATTACCATAACCAAATGATGATTATTAATATTGATTGCAACACATTAAACACAGAAATACCATTTACCATTCGATGTATGCAAGAATTATTGATCAGACGGCCGGACACACCGTGAATTGACGATTGAGCAAAATATTAATATTAGAATAATGACACGAACATTTTTCACTACATTATCTGAAAACAATTATAGGAATTTAGAATAATTACATAACTAACACCATACCTCACGTGAGGGCCTTACCCCTGGTTCAATGGCAGCAGCAAGACAAGGCTTCGAGTCATCTCTTGTCCTCTCCTTGCTTTTGCGCATGCGCGAGCACTCACGTGACCTGAAGAGTGCCTTCTTTGTGGGACATTTGAATTATTGTGGAGGTTAAGCTCCACAAGCTATAGGCCTACTGTGACATTGCCTATCTGTATAAGTTATTTGTACCAATAATGAATGAAATAATTAGATTCTGATTCTTAGTCATCAAAATAGTCATATTAACATCCAGGGGTACATTATCACTGTATTCTGATTATTACCAAAGGGTCGTGTCTTTGTCTTCGGAGGTCACAGCAAAATTATGAACATCTCCCGTGGTCCCGTAGACCTCATCATCGTCTGCAGCGGTCTTAGAAACATAATCATCGTATCACGCTGATCACCATTTAGTATTGAAATTTAGTAAAATATGGTCCTTTTAACTCTGAACAAAACAAAACCTCCCCCGTTGTTGTAAGAAATATGGCCCAAAAGTTACTGCAACTTTTGTGATTTTACCCATAAACTGCAGTATTTACTCCCATCATAATATTCATGGTAAGGGTTGTCGTTAGAAAGTATGTTTTAGATTGCTGATACCATTTATTAACTATTGCAATGTTCAGGTGGTGAGAACTGCATACAGGCTGGCTACATGCTGCGACTGACTTGTGCTATGGATGAGTTGTTCTACAACAAGTATGGAGCTCAAGCTCAGCTGGTAACGGACATGTATCTGTATCAGTACGCTAGCAGGAAAACTGGTGAGTTATAGATGACTCTTGTCTCACATTGTCTTGTGAAGGTAAAGAGGTTTCTATTGTCTCTTTACCTTAGGGGAGCGAGCTGGCGTAGTGGTTAGAGCGCGGGACTTCAGTCCCTGAGGTCCCGGGTTCGATCCCCGCCAAGTCACGAATGGATTTAATCCAAGTGATAATGCCATAACCCCCAGGTCTAGCCTGAAGTAATGTGGAAAACAATCCCAGGCTCGTGCCTAGTGTCCCAAGACACAAAAAAAATTGTCTCGTTACCTTCATTATCTCCTAAAATATATTTTATTGACTCATACTTCTGTGTATATCTCCATGGTGGAGATATACACTGATACACATGGTGTACAGCTATACATAGTGTCTTGGGTCACTGAAATACATTGTAGGCTAAAGGCTGAAGTATGCTTTTTAAGAGTAAGTAAGCTCACTCTTTACACACCTTCTAAACAGGCTGACTCAAACAGAAGAACGTCTTTTGGCAATCCGGTGTCACTTTCCTGAAAATGAACGGATAGGCAGATTGCAGGCATTCATCAGGTGGCACTTCACCACATTTATTAATGTGTCTTTTCTGAAAAAGACAATGAAAAGTTGTCGATCGAAGTTGTTTCATAACAAGTTGTCTTTCTGTTTGGATTAATTTAACAATTTCGGTATTCAAAAGAAATCAGTAATTTAAACCAGCACAATCTGTTTGTGGCTCTGTTCAACATCCACTTTTAGTACAAAGCTGGCAACAACTCTAACCAAAAGTGTCTTTTCTCTTTATTATTTATGAGTTTAGATTTTTTATGCACTATGTACTGATTATTGTGGTTTGCGTTTTGTCATGAATCTCAATTAGACTTCACTGGGAATATTGTAATTAGTAGATGAATAGAGACAGAACTAGGTCGTACATTCCCAAGAAAGAATCCCAAACACAAGAGCTGAAGTTATCTTCTGTTTCCAGGTGCAGGACTGCGGATGATGTCAGTAGTGGAAGCTACAACCGCAGCTCTGCAGGATCGCAGGCTGCAGCGCTGTCTGGTGTGTGACGCTATCAACATTCTACCTCTGAGTGACGACTGGTTGCGACCGCGCGGCTTCCTCTACGCAATGGCCAAGAAGCAATACGGCTTCCTACAGGAGGATCGCAAGTACCCCTTCACGGCTTATGTGAGCATTAAATTGAAAGTGACTCACTTATTTTCTTGGTTGAACACGTTTCTATAAATTTCTTAAAGGTTACCTAAATATAGCTGGGTAGATGAGTGGTTATACAGGTAGTGCTCGCTTGATAATCAAAAGGTCCCACTTGAAGGTGCCCTTTAAAGAGGCAACGATCATAAGATCCTGAGAAAATTCAGTAGCTTAAAGTTCAGTGGTTAAAATTGATCCCTCTAAAATTTATGTTGAAGTAAGACAAAACTTCACAAAGAAAAATGGCTTATTGAATGATTATAAATTATTAGTGCTCGTCTATAAACGAGGAGTTATGTACCGGTATTAATTTTTTCAAACCACATTTTAAGTGTCAACCCGATTGCAGTGTATTGTTGTTTTCAGGGCGTCACATGTACTTACAATGCTAAAAAAGACATGTTGGTAGTAGACTCTGCTCTAAGTATGGACAGCTGCATGTTCTGTAGTGGGTGAGTAAAGTAAATTGTAAGCCTCATGAATTAGCTCTAAATGTTACATTCTTATGTTACTGCTATTATTGTTATTTGGTATTGGTGTAAAAGATTATTGGAGAATTTTTCCATCTCGGATTCTGAAAGCATGGGATATTTAACATTTTGAAAGCTGTCATTTTATTTTGTCCTCAGATATTATCAGAGCTTCAAATAACAACGCAAATCTGAAAACAACACAGACTAAAACAAGTTTTAGATTATTAAGCAGTAAAAAAAGTCAAAAAAAGGAAAAAGTATCTATTAGATTACATTGTCTTTCTGACACACAATTACGATTGCATAGCTGTACAATATTTGCTATGGTAACTCGGCCGGCCAAACCAAACTTCTTTGACTAATTAAACAGTTTCCAGAAGCATTGCAACATGTTATTTTATTCATCTATATTTGAAGCGCATATTTTAAGTAGCATTTATTGTCACCCCATTTGCTAAAATGGCAGTCACAGGGATGCTCTATTTTAAAATGGCTGTCTAGAAGAAAATAGCCTTCTTGACATGGTTAGGCTATTGTTTAATCACAATGTATATTGCATTGAACATAAATTGCAATTCATTTGTTGGTACCTTTTCCTTTGCTGTATGTATGTAACTTGATCATGGTTGTTTATCGGGTTTATTTGCAGGAAACTCCGCATGATTCATCATGATGGCACAGTGGCATACGAGAACGGAGACGTGACAAACGAACCCGTCAAGAACCCTTTGAATCGTTGTCCCTGCGGCTTTAAACATTGGTGGAAAGGAGTGGCTTACGATAATCCACCTGTAGAGGTAAAAGATTATATGATTTTATACAATTTTTTTTACAAACAGTGAAGTTCTATGATTGTATGAACAGGGCTGGATTCAAGCTCTGCAACACAACCATATCCCCAGGGGGTCAATGTGTCACAAAGTAATCTCATTAGTCAGGATGTATTATTGTAGATAGTGAGTTCAGTGGTAGCTGTAAATTTTCCTGTGTGGGAATGTTCAAGATAGTTTGTGGAGATGTTCACGATTTCAATGTGATCGCAGATATTGTTAATGATTTTTTCGCGATTACATGAGACTTTTTTTCATCACAATTGTTTTTGTAAACTACTTCACTTTAAATAAAACTCTGGAAAAAATATTTCAATAATCACAACTTCAGGAGGTGTTCACCATTTCACCGCATCACTGGAGATGTTAATGACTTTCTCACTGTCGCAAATGCTTCCTTGATCTTTGAAAGATTATTATTACATGAGGTTCGTTGTCTCCTCGACATCAAGACCAGGCCGAGGAACACTTTCCTGGGGGAGAGCCCCCAGACTCCTCTAATGAAATGAAATGAAAATCCTTCTTTATTGAGGCGAACTTAGGACCTCCTGGTCCTTTCTTACAGTTAACCTCTAAATCTAATCGATTTTTTGTCTCTAATTGAGGAGGTGGTAATTTTTACCTCCCTCAAACCTCAGTGATGTCTAGGAGCCTGGGTACAAGTGATGTGTAATATGTCTGCAGATCCCCGTGTTGATGGAATGGAACGGAGTGAGTGTTGGTGACATTGTTCACTGGTTCCAATACGAGTCTGACAGACGACTGAACAGCAATGCGTACCAGCTGGCCTCCTTCCTGTTGCAGAAACACTTCCCAGGTGAATCTAGCTTCAAACTGTTAAACAAATATTTTAAGTTAATATTTTAGTATTTTCTTTTTTTTTATTTGTGTTGAGTGTATTTTTTTGGTATGTTATTTTACGTCTTAATGCATATTTATTCAACATTGTACCACCCTATTTAGCCATAAAGAAATATTTCCCCCTTGATATTTCTTGTTATAAAAGAAGAATCCTTGCTCTCCTCGTCCATACCAGTGTAAAGAGAAGCAAAACAGACTGTTATGTGTGCATGTGCAATCCTTACTAAACTCAATAATGTCATCGACTTCCTAACAAGCCGGTCATCGACACCTCTACCAACCAAGTCCCACAATTATTATTGTGTTATTGTGTTATTATTGTGTGCTTATTAGCTTAATATAGATTGCACACATATGGCATTTTAATCCGCACATGTTGAAATACCTCAATGCTACACTCTCCAGTGCAACTCCTTAGTCAACTGGGTTATCATGCCACTGTCGGCCACTCGGGACACTTCGACGCACTTCGACCACATCAGCCTTCACAGGCTTCATGGGCTTAAAAAGGTTTTCCCAAAATCAAATAGGCAAGATTTTGATTACTATGTGACTAGACAAGCAATTTAAGCTACCAATTATCCTTGTCAGAAAAAGTATTTAATCTGTTTTAAGAGCAGATGACAGTTGTGTTAACATTTTCTATTTGAATTTAACAAATTATTCTGTTCAGGTGAATTTGGTTCGGAACGCCTGCATCAAAACATTGTCCAACAGATTTTGGAGCAGGTGAAGGAATTACCACCGGCCCCCCGAGTTGATTCTCCTGTCGTAAGTAACGGTCTTTAAGCAAAAATGTAATTTATATGTCATTCTAAATCCAGACATATTACGAGCACTTTCAATTTGCTACAACTTATTTCATTTTGTCCAAAAGATGTTTTACTAAAATCAATTTAATTCAGGTTCCTATTATGTCATTGTCTAATGACATAATAGTTTAAAATGCTGACTCTAGAGTCAGCATTTTAAACTGAAAATATCTGTTAAGTTTTCTAATTTGTAAGTTTGTATTACAACAGATTTTTTTGACAGAAAATATAAAACCTTATTATTGTTATATAGGCCTTTACGTACTTCAGTAAATTTAGTTGTTTTACAAAATTCAAATTTGTATTAAGGCTTTTTGGCTGTAAGTGGGTATAACGGTTTTGTATAATTCTATATATGTAAATTCTGAGAAAAAATTGGGTATAAATGCTTTGTAAAGAATTTTAAAAAAATGTGGGTTTGTAAATAAAACATATCTCACAATGAGGAACTGTTCAATTTATAATTTTAAATAGCCACTGGCGAGAATTTGTGTAAAGTAGAGTTCACGATTTTAGGAACGGTCAGCTACAGTAGAACCTAGCGTAAAGGGGATGTGGAGATGGTTTCAGATAACCAAAATTCCCATTATAAAGAAGACAATTTTTCAGTATTTAAAGTGATGAGAATAACACACGGTAATAACACAATTAAAGCACATTTTAAGGTTATAACACTGTTGGCCTTGATCTCAAGCACTCTGCAACCTTTCATCCTTTGTCATTTCACATGTTCATACTTTGTCTGAGATACAATTTTAGTGTTTTTATTTTCTCAGACCACTTCAATCTTCAGTGTTTTCGTTGATCTAGTTTCAACTTATTCCTATTTTATTTAAGATGCCTTTATTCGTAATCTCTCTCAACGTATTATTTTGCATTAACCTCATAATTTTCTTATACTCACTATTCAACATTACAGGACATGATGGAGCAAGACTCACAGTGCAAGGAGGAGGCTTGTGGAACCAGTGTTACCACCCCTGTAGCAGTGAATAGTGTCGACCCACCAGCAATGAACAGTGCCACTAGTGCCAACACGAGTGAACAAAGTGACGCATGTGCAAGTGCTCAGCGGAAAAAGAAAACGTTGATGAAGCCAGAACACAAACCGAGCACCTCGAGGACAAATCCCAATGTGGGTCGAGGTTACCGCGTGGGCCCCGGGATGTCGATGTTGTCTTCTATGCCTGTAGAGCCTAACTCTGAGGCCATGGACCGATTCCTGCAGTTGATGAAACGCAAAGCTCCATCGCCCAGTTCCCCAGACTCGCCCAGCCCTTCTACTAGTAAGCAGTAATTTACGGTTTACTCAAGACTATTTTGGGCTTTTGTCTTTTGAGTTTTCTTTTTCTTTTATCAACAACTATCAATTATTTAAGAGTGAGACACAACCTTTGGCACGTACAAGCTGAATATAAACAAAGGGTGTAGAATGGAGTGAGATGATCAGCTGAGTTTTGTTTTTGACTCAGCTGTTTTTTAGTTAGGATCATAGATTTTCACTCAATGATCAAGAACAGCTGGGTCCAGTTTACATCAAAAAGCTACTCACTTTTCTCAGGGTTGAATAGGCTTAGGGATTAAGGCACTTTTCTAAGGGTTTATTTATTTCACTTAGGGATTGATTAAGTAGTACAGTAGATTTCCTCTTGGACAGGACAATTTGGTTCAGATATGATAACCGACTGTGTATTATTTACTAACACAAACTGCTTCGTTTAGTCACGTAAACAAACAACGGTTGGTCCAAACCTTTTTTTTAGTACATCCAGTTTTTTTACCTTCAATGTGTTCAATTCAATGTGTTTTAAGATTTGCAAGAAAAAGAATATGTGACAAAGAACATTTGATATTTTAAATCTGCTGTATGAAATAGTTACATTCACCATTGAATGATTTTAGAAACAGAATTGTGTTTGTGTTTACATCAGCATTTTTAACCTTTTTTTGTCCTTGAAACAAACCGTGAATGGTTGAAACCCTGGTCTCGTTACTAGCTAACATATATATTTTGTTAGATAGCATCATTAATTTATACCCCAATGATGAATACTTTCTGGGTCCAGAAGCAGTGTCCTTTGGGATAATTGTGTCTACAACCTTTACAGTTAAATTACTTGACCATCGAGACTATTCAATTTTATTTTGACGATTTGGGATGCGAAATCAGATAACTGATTTTCCGTGCATAATTTGTGCTTCTAAAGTCCCAACATTGATTTTCGTAGTATCGTCTGATGGTTTTGGACTTTTTTGCTTGGTTAAGATGGCGATCCCAATTTGTCAGAGCGAGGGGGAATCTATTGTAAAATTGTTGTTTTATTTATAAGTGTGTATGTTCAATATTTAATGCTTTATTTTAACTGAGTAAAATGCTTCAAGGTTGCTTTAACAATTTACATATTACAATTTACATCTTAAATCTTTATGTTGTCATATTTTAAAAAACTGTTTATGTACCTTATTTCGTATTTATTCTTCAAAATTTGTGATTTTAGATAAAGACAATTGAAGGAATAAGATTAGGCCTGTATTGGCATAAATTATAGGGATAATCATAATTATACCATTTTGCCCATGATTAAAAAATTGTTTGAGTAGCATTTTTGTTTTGTACCCACAAAAGTCACATTTTGTAAAATTATTTTTCCATTTAAATCTGTTCATTTAAACAGCAGTTATCATTCTATCAAGAATATACAAACAAAAAATTCTTCATGCTAACAATTTTTGTTTTGTGTAAATACATTCTTGACCACATATCAAAAACTTAACATATCAGACATTGCAGTTTATTTCACAAATAATTTATTTTGTTAATAATATTGGTTTTGTTTTTTCAGAACATTTCAAATTGAAATAGTCTTGAGTAAACTATGTGGGAGTTCCTGTGATTGTGAAAAATTTAGTGCTATGTTAGATAAACGCTCTGTACAGTTTGTTATTTAAACTCGCTATATTATATTGTGATATTGATAACTTTACTTCATAAATATTATATAAGTTATTATAGTTTATTATCTTTATTTATTACTATAGCTATAACAGATTTTCTTGTACAGACATTTCACAACTAAAATATAGTTTCTCCGTTGGAAATAGTTAGGATTTTATTTGGCTAATCCTCCATGGTGCTGATATATTGCAGCGTTGTCTGTCAAATATTTTGGCTCTTAAGTTGTTTGCTGCTTTGTTCCTTTTGTTTGAATATGGGTACTTTCATACTGGTTTTTTAATTTGGTAGAATCGCTTATTTACCGTCATCTAAAAAAGGTGTAAGGCAAAATCATGCGGTTGATGATCTTGGATTTGACCTCGATTATGGCCAAACTTGATCAGGGGAAATTGACACTGACGCGTCCGCAATGTAGAAACTTGTGATGTTGCCATGATTGCTAGAGGTAATCACAAGTGTTACCGTATTCGCTACAATTCCTCAGATCATTATTGTTATGAGTGATGAATTTGAATTTGAAATTTTAGACTCAAGTTTTAGGATTTGAATTTTATCATCATTATCCTTGTAGTGAAGGCGATTTCTACAAAACACTACTACCCCATTAATAATGGATGGATTTTTACAAACGATGTGTCAAAATTAAGTATTTTTTTGTGTAGACGCCCCCTTTCACCAATTACTGTGATAAATGTCCTCGGGCTTTGCCCCGCAGGCCATCAAAGTCCCAGTGTATTTTTTATGAAGAAAATTTACTACCCAGCTGTTTAATACATCTTAGTTCAGTAGTGGGATTTGTCAAGTGTCAAGATATTTTGCGTCATTGTACATGTTGTTAGTTGAATATAAACAAACAACACATTCTTTTCTGCATTCACCCCGAAGCACGGGCAGAGCTAGTTGTCTGTAATAGCTGCAATTAACCAAAACCTAAAACCAAAATCAACATATCTTATGGTGAAATGTATACAAATCCACATGTTCATGAACAATAACTATGTACAATGCAACAAATGTTTTCTACCTCCTTTTTAAGTGTTTTTTTATCTACCTACAGAAAAAATCACATGTTTGCTAGCTTCTTTTTAAAATTTTTATTTTAACTATCTAAACTTTTATGTTTTAAATATTTTTTAGTCATTTTACTCCACTTTAATTGAAGTGAATTTAGGTAGGTACTTTGAATGCTTTTTAATTTACTAGCTAGAACAAAGTGAATTTCCTATTGGTTATCTTGTAAGAGTCAAAGTCTGTTACCTAAGGTATGCTTATACAGAATACATTAATTTATTTGGATTGCTGTGTTTTAATATATCTGTGTTTGACTTGTCTTTGATCATTTTAACATCAAACTGTTTTGCAATGCTCGTTGCAGCAAACTTGAAAGTCTTAGGGGTGTTCTAACTGTAAATTTCCTTTTGTTGTGAAAAAAAAACGCTAAAGCAAGAAAAAAATTGCTCTTCAGTTTTGCTGTGGGGGGTATTTTAAAGTTTCTTTTAAATTTTTGAAGTGTCCTTATTGATATCTATGAATGTGGAGTGCTTAGAATACTTATCATGAAGTATATTATTGTAAGGTAGTATTAAATATTTTGTTACTCTAAAATGATTGTCTGATTATATTTTTGGTCAATTAGCTTTCTCTGGTTTATTTAAAGATTAATTTTTCTTCTGTTTAACAAACTAAAGAATTCAAGTTAGGTTTCTCAGGACAGGTATTGGTTTTGTTCAATTGAACAGTAAAATTGTCTGGATTTACTTAAGTGTGTGAACTTGCTTAAGAGTGACATAGGCAGGACACAGTAAAAATATCTAGTTATGCTGCTGTATGCGGTTTTTACCCATGATGAGTATTTGTGTGTTTCACTAAAATACTTTAAACAATATTCAAAGAAAGTGTTAAGGCCCAGAACAACTGTTTGTTTTAATGATCAAGCCAGGCCAGTGAAAAATAAGTTTTGTTGTTCTACTTACCCAACCGACTGAAAGAATTTGTGAGTTTAAAAAATTAAATGGTTAAAGCAAGATGTGTTATTTATAAAATCTGTATATTATTACTTTTTGTTTTTGTTGTACAATTATTCATGCATTTCTAAAAAATTTATAAAGTCTTTAAAAATGTGGACATGTACTAGATTTCACAACTAGCTTCAATCAAATATGTTTTTATTCTTTTGTACCCCACAAACAGAGCTTTCTTAAAAACATTTTGCGACTTTGTTTTGCTCATTTAATAATTTAAGGAGGCTAATAGGTTCCATTTGATTTCATACCCCTTTACACATTGGCCACTGGCGCCACCAGTTGCTCACGGCTAATAGCGGCTTAAGAGATAAAAGTCTAAAAGTCATATAGTTAGGAGTTTGTTCAAAATTAATTTTCTTCACAATTGATTACCCTATTTGGTCACACCATCACATATCTCAAATAACGTAAGACTATTAAGTATAAATTAATTTGTGTTTTTGACAAAAATTAGGAAAACATTTGATCCATTCTCTCTGCAAACAACTTTAAGAGCTAGCTTTAGGATATTTTTAACTCGATATTTAAGTGACGTGAAGTAAAGACACAGATAGAACTTTAGTGATTGCTCAACGAATATTACGATAAGTAGAAATTATCATTCGGTTTTGATAGTAATTTGTAAATTGCTAGTTGGTAAACTCAAGTATTTTTTTACTTAGCTTAGCATTTTCGTTGTTCTTGAGTTTTCTTGAGGGATAAATAATAAGTTTAAACTATTGTATTGTATGTAATATCAAATAAAAATTATTTAAAGTAAACTATTTCTTGTGTGTTTTGATCCATACCGAACTGTCTTTATTTTAATACATTGTGCAATTGCTAAAAAGTTTGATCGAAATTGTTGAGTTAACGGTAAGTGCTGATGATGAATTTTTCAGTAATGACTCACAGTACGAGTACAGAAGTAAATATTATATTCATTACAACTCTTTGTGGACCCAAGTAATTGAAATCCTTGGTGATAATAGAATGTTATCAGGTCTTGAACAAGTAAGTTCCATTGGTGTTTTCCTTTTTTATTGGTATCATACAGACTTATCAGAGGGTTTTCTTATTATTTTTAAACATTATCATAGATTAAACACATCCTTTGTAGATTTGCCATTCTTATGCTGTGTACTTGGGTATTTTTATAATGAACGTTGTAAAATGAAATTATGTGTGCTATATCCAGGACCTAATGGATTACATGAAGGCAATTTTAAGGTAAGTTTTACAGTGTGTTTAATGTTAACAATTTGTTTCTTATTTTTTTTTTTTATTAGCAATATGAACTTTATTTTATTATGAATAACATTATTTAACTCATTTCAGGTAACAAAACACAATTCATTTAAGTACAGTAATGAACATGAATCATGAATGAATAAGTACTTCTGCAAGAATACAACAAACTTAACAAGAAGAAGACCATATAAAAAAATGTAACTAAACATGGGAACAAGTAAATAAATATTCAAGAAAGGTTGACATAGTTTTATAATGTTAACAATAGTAAACTACAAAATAATTATCAAGAACCAGTAATAAAATCAATCAATCAATCAATTTATTTATTGAACTATAATGAATACATGCATATTATACAATAGGTGCAAAAACCATACAAGGCTTGTCTGCACCAACATATTATGAAAAATATTTTTAGTTAATTAATAGTAAACAAGAGTAAAAGCAAGAGCAACTTTTTTCATAAACAGACTATAATGAAAGGTGTTGGTGAATGAAGGTGAGGTTATTTACTGAAGAGGTTTGCCAAGCGTCTCTGAAGTCTAAACACAACTGATGGTGCTGTTCTCATGGTTTCTAGAGTGAAGTAAATGTCCAAATCAGTCTTTTTATCTCGTTCTGGATGGCAATTAATCAGTCTGTTAAAAATCTGGCTCAGAAAGATAATGTCAGGGACTGCAATCCTGCTTGCTTAAAGTCAACATTTCAGTATTCTGTATTGTAAATTTGTTAAGAACCTGGAATGAATTTTTTATACAATAACGGCTTTCTCTGTAGCATTCCTTTTCTGTCTGTCCTACTAAACAGATTTTTTTTAAATTGATGTGTCATTTTAAATACGCTTATAATTAGAAAGGCTTGAAGGTAATTCCCTTCAGTACCCACCCCCTAACCCTAACCTTTCATTTATTTTTTGTTAACACTACTCCCTTATTTGTGGATCAATTTTAATGTTTCGTCTCAATTTGTAGTTTTGCAATATGGTTTCTTGAATTTAAAAATTCTTACCCATACCTCAAAGGTTGACTTTTTCCCATAAGAATTACACAGAACAATTTTAAAAACAAAAAACAGCTGTTGATAAAAAAAAAACTTAGTAGCTTTTTTGGGATCAAATATTGATGTTTGTAACTATAGCAGTTACCCCGTGCTTGTTGCTGCGCTAACTACTATTATTTTAAATAGTAATTTGTTCTTTACGATAAATAATAAAAATATCAAACAAAAATAGAATATTTATTTTACTTGCAAGTGGATAAACAATTTTTGTTGTTGTTTTTTTTTCATTAGGTGTATAATTATATAAGTTTTTAGGCGTACCTACCACCACGTGATTACGCAAAATATATCTGTCGGTGTGAAAATCATGCATTTTCTAAAGTTAAACGGCGATAGTCAGGGATTGCTCTTGTGCCTTATAATGGTGATTGCGAAAGCAAGACGCAAAGGAAATTTTAGTCGTATGAATTCAAAGGTTAATTTGTATGAAATAACAGTTGTTTAAAGATTTAAAATAGTTTTTTAAATTTAGAAATTGGCCAATTTTGAAAATCTTTGAACATTTACCATTTTGCGCTAGATCAACCTTTGAAGTGCAGTTTGCGGCATTGTATTCTACTAAAAAAGACCTTTCATTTGATGTGCATATTGACCTATGCTTCCATTTAAGATTTTCTTCCGACTCCTTGTGGGCCGTCCCCCTAAACAGTTATTGTATCACTGAATATGTGTTACAATAGAGTTTTATGCCTTGTAACTTTCTACCAAGTATTGTAGCTCTATCTAAATTATTTTTTAAAATATTTATTTATCTTTGGACTTAATTACCGGAGTATATATATTAGTGCAAGTAATATAACTATATAAGTGATAATATAAGTATATATATTAGTGCAAGTCCCATGGATCTATGATTTTTTGTTAAAGTTATAGAACTTTGAAGTTTTGCTACGGAAAAGGCTTATTTTGAGAAAACTATTTAGAAAATTTCAAATAGGCATAAAAACAGTTTTTTTTGTATTTAAGAAACGATTTTGGTACCTAAAGAAAGAGTATAATGTTCTCTATGAAAACAATACCAATTGTTGTCTTAACTCACGGTAGTTATCATTTAAATAATTGTTTTATCGACGCATGTGGTAAAAATCACCTTTTTTCTGCCATATGTCATTTCTCCATGACACAAAAAGGTAACCTGTTGGGACCACAAAACTTGCGAGATATTTTACCCTCCGTAATCTGAACTTTGTTGTAGCTCTCTAAATGTTCACTTGAGTGCAGGACAATCTATTTTTTTGGACTAAAGACTGTTTATGAAATGAATATCAGAAATGTTACCTCTTGTCAGTATGGAGAAAACATTGAGTCTTGAGTGACAAAAGGCACTTTTCCTCAGACCGTCCAGAGGCTAACAAAATAATTTATTTTGACCTTTTACATCTTCGATTCCATATTTTAACCGATACTGCCCAGTTCTACGTTAAATGAGGTATAACAATCGATAAAAACAAGAAATTCGATATTTTTTACCTTAATTACTTATATCGGATGTACTGAAAATTTTTTCGACAAGAGGTACCTTTTCGCTTTCCACATCACAATTTTAAATTAGTAGTTTTATTCATCTAATAAATCTCTTTTTATCATTTTGTTTGCAGCTTACTCTTGTATACCATATTAAACTCATCCAAATCGTACAAAACATTTCATAATAATTTTGATGAAAATGGCTATCGCCAGCCTTTTTTGTGCGTATCCATTTTGTAAAAAGCTCCTCATAATTATATACCTACTAGCTGTAACCCGCGGGCTTTGCCCCGTTTAACTTCTTAATTTTCAAGATTATCTCGTTCGCATGGCTCAATCACGTCCTGGTTGAAGTTTGTTCGCTACGCTCACTCACCTTTAGGTTGGAGCTCGTTCGCTGCGCTCACTTGCCTTCAGGTTAGCTCGTTCGCTACGCTAACTCGCCTCCAGATTGAAGTTCGTTCGCTACACTCACTCACCTTTTGGTTGCAAATTAGCTGTTGTCATAAATGTAAAAGAAATAATAGTGCTGCACCCTGTTGGTAATCCTTGTAACTTTAATGCTATTGGTCATCATAGAACAGAACCAACTTGTTTAGTTGAAACAGCTGTTAAGATTCAATAATTCAATTTCTCATAAGGTTAACATGGGAAACCCCAGAGCCACTGGGGCGGAGCCCGAAAGGATTTTTGAAATAAGAATATGCCTATATGTTAATCGGGAATGTGAGCTATCATGCCAAATTTCAGCCCAATCCGACCAGTATTTTTCGCGTTCACTTGTCACAAACATACATCCATACATCCAAACTTTCTCATTTATAATATTAGTAGGATACTAATTTTCCAATGTGCGCACGGCTCCCACGTATTTATTTCAATAATTCGTTTTGAATCAGCAATAATTGTTGAATTAGTCAGAAACAGAGCAAAGTTATGCAATTAGTAGTCTCGCTCCCAGCGCGCGCAGACCAGCTGTGCAGCTGAACAGCTGATTGCTGTCCACCTGTCGTCTTGTCTTGAGTTAGTCGTCTGCTAGCCGTCGACCAGCGCTGAGTGTGACTTCTCGCTCCCTGCTGCTACACTCGCGACATGTTGAGGTTAGTTTTGATTGTATTTATGGTTGTAATTTACCTATTGGTTAATTATCTAATCCGTTGATGACCTAGATTTGGTTTAATTGTTATTTAATAAGTGGTATCACAGAGTGAAGAGTAGACATATCTTTAATTGTTGACTAAATTAAATGAATTTGTATTAAATCGGCGTCTCCTAAAATAATCAATAGGATGAAAACTATGTTTAGAGCTGCATAATATTTTGGTTGTATTGTAGTATAGCTTAAGTGTTAATAATTGAAGATCATAAAATGCATATATAGTGTATAAACGTGTAAAAAATGTGTTGAAAAACTACTAATTCTATTAGTATGAAACACCTCAAATCCATAGCTTTGTTAAATAATTTAAAATAAATATTACCATCCATTAACAACCAGGATGGAAACAGATTGCGTAATTGAAAAAATGGTATTTTATAAATAATCTGTAGGGACCCTAAAATTAATTTTAAAATGAATTAATTTAAATTAGCTAAACTCTACACTGAATAGGCCTACCTACCTGAACTGAACTTTCTAAAACGGATGCTGCTAAAATACTGTAAAAGCTACATTAAGGAAGAGTTCTTTCAATCCAAACTCTGACTATTCATAAAATAATGTAAACAACCCTAAATTTGTAGGTCCCTTTATTCGGCGAAAATGTGAAATTGTAGCTCTAGGCCTCCTATTTTATTTTATTTTTTTTATCTTATAGTGAATACCTTGACAGTGTAAATATTTGTGCACTCTAATGCTGACCTTGCCATTAATTTTCATTTTTGAATCTTTGGCCTTCTTTTAAAAATTCCACAATGTTCCTCAATCAAGGGCGAAAATGATTTTAAAAAATTTGTTTGGTTTAATAAGGTATTTTACAGTGTTTCTTCGTTATTTTAATGA